GAAAGAGCCAAGTGATAAAGATGCTCTTGGTGAAACAATCCATTTTATTATAAGAAATGGTAAAGTGTTATTTAACAAAGAAAGAATTGAAACTGTAGGAAAGGAAGTTAATCAATATATCAATTCAATTTTCACAACAAATAACGCATCGATTATTATCTCAAAAAATGATCCTCGGTTGAACTCATTTGTTCATCAATTTGATTAAATAACACAAAATATGATTCCTCTTTGTATAATAACTGAATAATAAATGAATTTTTTTGTATTCAAACTTTGTTAGTTAGTTAGTTATGAAAAAAGGAGATGTACAAACAAAAATAATTGAAAATAACCTCAAAATTCTTTCTTTTAATTTCTTTAAAAAATACTAAAAATAAATGAATGAGAAAAAACCACTACTGCCTTTTAATTAGTTCGTAATTGGAGTATATCCTTTCTCTTTTCTTTTACTCAAATAAACTCCTACAAATATTATTCCTATTATTATTATTCCTATTACTATTACTGCAATTATAAATACTATTATAATAATCCATTCTTTTTTATTAGTATTATCATCGTCTGTTGTCTTATAACATGCATCATCAATACATCTTTGATTGTATTCATCCCATTTATATCCATGATCACAATATGCAACTTTACATTTATTAGACCATTTTCCATCATCACCACAAATAAATCCTCCATGACCATGTTCGACAGTTATTTGATTGTCACACTCAGAACTATATTTAGTAAGCATTTTATTTTTAGGATTACATCCATTTTCATATTTTTCAAAGATCTTTCTTGCTTCTTTTACAAACTCTTCTAACTTATCTTCTGTATATTTGTAAATTTGAACTCGTTCATCAATTGGTGAAAGAGTAAATTCTCTTGGATTACTTTCTTTGTTATAATCAAGATTCCATTCGAAATATTCATAAAAACTAGTTCTCATAAAACCTCCATATCTTGCTAAATCATCTCCTTCAGGTAAGAACATTTCATCCATTCCAATAACAGCTGTTGGTGATTGTCCCGCATCAAACCATTCAATATCACCTTCTGGATCACCTTCATACCCAACAATAATAGCACTTCCTCTTTCCCACATTCCTTTTGTTAATAACGCACAAGCTGAATAACAAAATCCATCAGTAAATAGAATAATTTGATTTGGATTTCTTGGGTGTTTAGTAAATCTTGAAGCAAGCATTGTTTCTGGAACAAGAAGAGATACTTGTGATTTTATATGTGTAACATTATTTCCATATACTACAGGAACTGGTTTTGTATAAAATTCTCCAAGTGGAATTGAAAGATTTCCAGTTATATTATATCTTGCTGTGCAATTTATTGGGTCATACATTCCACTACCATATTCATGTTTAATACAATTTTCAGCTCCTGGTGATATTCTAACACTTCCAATTAATGCAGTATCTTCATAAGGTGCAAGTAAATTCTCAATATTACTTTCTAAATCTCCATATCCTCCACCATTCATTGGTAAAATCATAGCAACTGGATCATCATTTTCATCAAATTGAGCAATACATTTATCAAATGTTTCAAAGAAGTTATCAACTTCTGTTTCTGGATAAAAAGTTTTTAAGACAAAAATATTAATTGTTTGTTTTCCATCTTCTTTAAATGTTTTACAAGCAATATTTTTATCTAATGACTCATAGTCAAAATTATTTGAATCTTGTTTTAAATCAATAAAATCATTTAAACTAATTGGTTTCATATTTTTGCCTTCTTCTTTAGCTTTAATCTTTTCTTGTTGTTTTTTATTTAATGAAATTAATGGTTTATATAACATTGAATATCCTGTTGATACTGTTTGTCCATTTGAATATACAATATCAATGGACTCTGATAAGAAACTTTTTTCAAATGGACTTGAAGTAAGTTTTTGATTAGACATAGATTCAATAGCATAAGTAAATCTACCATGACTTGATTTAAGGAAAGTATGTTCTTCTGCATATTTACGAATCCAATCAAGTGGTTTCATTTTATTAATACTTTGAACTGGGACTTGACTATTATCAATAATTTCTTGTGGAAGATTTACACCATAATGAGTAAGAATGTCATATGGAATTAAAATAACATCTTTTCCTTCATTAATAATATCAATAGAAAATGGTAAAACAGCATAAAAACTATCGAAATAATATTTAAACTCTTCATTAGAACTAATTCTAAAAGTTAAATGAAGGTCATGAGTAGCAAAAAAGATATTTTCAATTTTTTGATAAAAAGAATACATAGAAGTCTCTGTAGTATCTAATTCTTTTAACAATTTGTCTATATCTACTTTTTGATAATAATCAACTTTTCCTTTAATAGCTGGTGGTGAAAGTAAAATATCTTTATAAACATATGTCTCAAAAATAGCAGTAATATCTTTTTTGATTGCTTCAGTAACTGTTCTATTCACTTTAACTGATTCAATACATTCAAATGCTTGTTCTACTGTGTACACTTTATTGATTTCTAATTCATTGCATGGAGTAGCTAATGAGCTATTAATAAATATCAATGAAATGAGTAGAATAAGACTCATACTAATTTTTTGAAGTTCTTTAGATTTGTAAAAGAATGAAGAACAACCCAGAAAATCAAGAGTTATTAAAAAATTCAAACTTAATAGAAGTTTCTAATCCATTTGAAAGAGTTGTATTGGGTTTTATAAAAATTTTTTTAATCATTTATAAATAAAAATAGTTAATAATTTAGTATTCGTTTACTAATTAACATTTATTAAGAAATTACCTTACTCTCAATACGTTTTACCCTGAAAGAAGTTGTTAGCCTTTGTTCATAACTCATTTCTATATAAGTATTTGATGAATTTATTGGTTGAAGTATTATGTCAAATCCATAATCCCTGGTAGACATACTAAAGTTCCTGTTTCAACACCTGTGAATATATGTATTTTTGAATTTACATTTTGTAAAAAACCAAAATGGTTCATGTAGTAACTCTAAAATTATTGAATTCTTTTACAATGAGACAAAATCCATAGTCTCAATTTCATGTAAAAAATTTTTAATATAATTTCCTGATAAATATTTAAGACTTTTCATTTCAAAAGAATTATCTTCAATAAGAATTAGACTTGATAAATATTGAATATCTTCTTTTACTTTGTAAGTAAGAGGTTTCTCAGGATTCTTTGTATTTCCATTAAATCTTTTTTAATAACACAAACTTGAATTGGATAGTTTTTAAAGAAGGATCTACCTCTTTGAGTTTATCTATGTTACCACAAACAAGTGACATCCTTTATTTTCATAAGCAAAATTACTCTGAAGAAAAAAAAGAAGAAACCCTAGGCTTTTACCAAAAATTATTCATATCTGCAGTTATTTATGAATAAAAAGTGGGGAATGCTTTGTTCATTGGGGCGAGTTCCATCTTTATTACTCATAGAGAATGAAACAATAATTGGTCGTTCAAATAAATTTTGTTGTCTATCAAAAGAAAAATCAATTAGTCACAAACACTGTATAATAACAAGAGTTACAACACCAAATGAAAATTCTTCTCATTGTTTCATTACAGACAATTCAATTAATGGGACATTTATCAATAGAAAATATCTTGGAAAAGGAGTTCAAGACGAAATACATTGTTTTGATACATTAACACTTCTTGACCCAGGACTAAAAGAGCATATTTCATATGTGTTTATTGACAACCAGTTTAAACAAAAAGAAATTGAAGAAGGAGGACCTTTTGAACTTTACGAAGTCAAAGGATATATTGGAGAAGGGACATTTGGAATTGTAAGAAGAGTCATTGAAAAAGAAACACAAGAAGAGTATGTAATGAAAGAAATAACAAGAACAAAAGGGTCAGCTGAAGAGTCTGGTAGAAGAGAAAGTGAGGTACTTAGAAAAACTAATCATGAAAACATTGTCAAGATGAAAGGGGTATTTAAAACAAACCAGTACCTCTATATTATCATGGAATATGTACGTGGGGGTGAATTACTTGATGCATTAAAGAAAGAAAAAAGAATGAGTGAAACAAAGATTAAGACTATTATGTATCAAATATTTAGTGCATTAAAATATCTTCATGAAAATAATATTATTCATAGAGATTTAAAGTTAGAGAATGTAATGCTTTGTGGAGTCAATTTGAAAGTTAAGTTAGCCGATTTTGGATTTGGTAGAATAATAGACCAAACACAAGCAGCAAAAACACATATTGGAACTACAACATATTTTGCTCCTGAATTATTTAAAGATGGAGACTATAATGGAACAAAAGTTGATATGTGGGCAGCAGGAATTATGATGTATTTTTTAGCAACAGGAAAACATCCTTTTGAACAATTAGTTACTTTTGATAAATTAAATTGTAAATGGAGTGATTTTATGAAAAGAGTAATTTCTGGCAAACGAGATGATTGTGTAGAATTTAAGAAGTGCTCTCCTGAATTCCAAGATTTGGTTAATGGTTTATTAGAAATGGATCAAAAAAAAAGACTCAATGCTCAGCAATGCTTATGTCATGAATTTTTCATATCAAGAAAACTATTAAAAATTTGTACTAATACCAATGAACTAGAACAAAGAAAAATGAACTAAACCTGTTTTTATTTTCATTTTTTTATTACAAATTCTTAAAAGAACGCTTTTGTTAGTTACAAGAATTAAAAGAACTTAATCATTATATATTAATTTAAAATAAAGAGAGATGATTGAAACTCTAACAAAATATAATTCATTGAAAAATATTTTGCTTTTTAATATTTTTAAGAAAAAAGTATCAAAATTGATTTGTAACGAAATAAGAATAGAAAAATAATCCTAAAATTAGTTTAATCAAACAAAAATGAAGATTCATTGTCTCTTATTAGAAGGTACTTTTTTAATAAAATTTTTTATAAACTACAAAATAACTATTTAGTATAATCAATTATGAATAAACAATATGAATATATATTGGAACACACTCCTAAAGAAGGCACATATGATGAAAACCTTCATGGACTTATTATGGTCCCAATTGAAGGATTTGAACCAATACCAGTACGTTTTATTTTAAGTAAAGAGTTTGTTCAAATACTTTTACTGGTTAATTTAATGATATAAGAAGTACTTATAAACAATTAGAAATCCTTATAACTTTACATTTTTTGTTTTTCATAGTGCAGAAAAAGATATTAAAGAAATAGAAGAAGAAATGAAAATGGTAACAAAGATATTTAAGGCAAGATGTATTTCATTTGATTATCCAGGATATGGATTAAATAAAAATAAAAAAGATATAGATTTAGTTCTTATGGTAGATGCAGTTTTAAAAAGAATAAATAAAAGAGGATACAGAGAAGATAGAATATTATTATTTGGGTATGAACATGGGTGTGGACCAGCATTACAATATGCTACAGTTTTAGCAGAAAGAAAGAAAGAGAAATTATCATTAGAGAGTTCTGGTATTATTTTGTTTTATCCATTAGATACTATTCCATTAGGAGTTGATTATCATTTTCCTAAATTCTTCAATTCAGTTCAAAATGTAGTTTATTTCAGAGTTTTAATGATGATTCCAAAGAGAGACAGTTATTTTACATCCTTAAATCAATTAAGGAAGATTGGGTATGAGGACCATGAATGGAAAGATCGTGTAGAGGTATGTGTTCATAGCTTTTCAAGATTAAAACCAACATCATTAAATAAGGTAAAAATATTAAAACTTTTAGAAAGTACAAATCCTTGGTTTAAGAAACTTAATAATCAAATTAATAAATATAAACATGGAAAAATAAATATCTCTATGGTAATTACTACAGTAATGAAAGTAAATAAAAAAATTCCATCAATACCTATTCATAATGACTTCTTTATTATGCAATTTTTAGAAAGAAATAAATTAGAAGATTTTATTCCTATTTTTGAAGAAAGAAAAATATATTCTGTAGTGTATACTCTCATGGGTAACATTGAAACTAATATCTTAGTTGAAGAGAATAAAACAATGTTAGATAAATTTTCAAATGTTGTTAGACAATACAGACAATTTGTATCTAAGGATTGGGACTTATTACGTAAAGATGTATTATGTGAAACTTTAAATAGAATTGAGATAAATACAAACATATTAATGAAACAAAAAAGTACATTACATCAACTAAAGGAAAATCCAATAAATATACCACATGAAATTGAAATGGATAAACTTTCTACTAAAACATCAAAATCTGAAAGGTTTACAATCCCTAAATGGGCTAAAGGGATTGAGTGTAATTTTGAGATATTTACTTATCAATCTGTTAATTTCTCAGATTATTTTTCTTACAGAGACTCTTTGAAAACAAAACATCTCAGCTCTTTGTCAAAATAATATAACTTTTTTATGTATCATTCTATTTTATATTTTTGTTATTTATAATTTTTGATGTTTTTCTATAAAAAACAAAAAGTAGATATAAAGAAAACCAAAAAAATATTAAAAGAACTTAAAAAAGGTTTAAACGAAGAAATATGGACTATGATATTTTGAAAACTCAACAAGAATATCTTAATCATGCACTAACATATTACACTGGATTAAAAGCACTTGTATTAGATAGTATCACAACTTCTATCGTCAGTCATTTATATTCTATGATGGATGTTACCCAAAAAGAAATTTATATTATTACAAATATTGCAGACAAAACAAGAGAACCACTATACTATGCAACTGCTATTTGTGTATTGCACCCTTCTAAATTTATTATTGATCGTTTAGTTGAGGAATTAAAAGTACCAAAATATAAACAATACTATATATGTTTGTTTGTTATTCTTTTATTAATTAATACTAATTATCTAGTTTTTACATCTCCAATTAATGAAAGTATTATTGAAACATTAGCTGAGGCAGATGTTCACGAAATCGTTCAAAGCGTTCAAGAGCTTTATATGGACTGTTGTTCAATAACTTCAAATCTTTTTTCATTATGTTTTAAAGGGAGTGAGTCTGATGAAATTACAGTAGAACGATCTGTTGAAGCATTGATGTCAATTCTCATTTCTCAAAAAGAAAATCCAGTGATGTTTGTTTTTTTTCTCAAAAAGACTTAAAAGAACAAACTCTCATTTATTTAGTCGATATCAAACCAATGGATCTACATTACCTCAGAACATTGCATATAAAATTAGTCAACGTATTCAGTCTTCTTTGACTGTTCAAGATGGATTAATTCCTATACAACCAACGTCAACAACTTTATTAATTCTTCATCGGTCATTTGATTGTGCAACTCCATTATTGATACAATGGACATATCAAGCAATGATTCATGAATTTTTAGGAATAAATAGTAATTTAGTAGAACTACCAACAGGAAAAGTTGAGTTTGCCTTTCCAAATGATCCTTTTTATAGACAAATGCATCAAAGAATGTTTGTTGAAGTAACTGATGAAATTCAAACTCGATTAAATCAGTTTAATTCAAGTAAAGAAGAAAAATTAAAACTTGACACTATGGATGAAATGCAAAAGGCAATTGATGCTATTCCTGAGTTAGTTAAAGAAAAAGAAAGTCTTACTAAACATACGTCAATTCTTAGTGCAGCATTAGCTATTAACAAACAAAAAAAAGGTTTACAATTGAGTGAGTTTGAACAAGCATTAGTAGTTAATAATGCATTAAGTTCTTCATTAGCTGAGTTAAGTAATATCATTAATGATAACACAATTCCATATAATGATAGATTAAAAGAAGCTGTTTTATTTGCTTATCGATTCCCTCAAAAAGCTGAAGATGTTAGATCAATGCTACAACTACAAAAATTTAAATTAGAAGACTCTCAATTGATTAAATCAATTATTGCTTATGGACAGAACCCACCATTAAAAGTATTTCCTGATGAAACTGGATTAAAAAAGTTTGTTAAAAAAATAGTTAAAGGAAGTGGGGGAGTAGAGAATGTATATACCCAACACAGACCATTATTAGAAAGTATTGCTAGAAATATTTTATATAATAAGGAAGATCTTAAAAAATGTTTTCCTGGATTTGGAGATATTCATAAAATTAATCAAAATTTGATTATCTATATTGTTGGTGGTATTACATTTGAAGAAAATGTTGCTATTCAAGAAATCAAAAAAAATTATTCAGATCAAGGGTTAGTTCCACCAAAGATATTAATTGGAGGTACAGATGTTTTGAATAGTACTAAATTCTTAAATATGTTAAGACCTAAACAAAAATAATTTAATTTTTTTATTTATCTTTACTTGCTTCAATTTTTTCCTCTTCTAATAATTTATTTTTATATTTAGTCGTTTCTATCAATAACGAATCTAGATCTCCTTGTAAACCTGCTAATTTAGTTATATTTTTTCTCATTTCTTTTTCAAAATGTTCTTCTTTTTTAATTTGTTCTTTTAACTCAGCAGCGTTCATTGAAATTATTAGATAAACATTTTTTTAATGATGCTTATATTTTATTTTATTTATATAACATAAAATAATAAAAGAAGAATAATGTTTTGTTTTATTATGAAGTATTCAAACAGTTCAATTAAGAATTAGTTTTTTTAACAATTCAAAGTATGGTTTATTTTCAAAATTAACTAATGTGACAGAACGAGACCCATTTTTTAATTGTATCTTTTCATTTATGTTTATTGTTAATCCAATTAATGGTAATTGGATAAGTGACTCAAAGTCTTCCATATTCTTCTTAAATATTAATTCTGTCCTACAAATTACCAACCATCGTTTTATATTCTTTTTGTTTTCATATAGTTCAACTTCACTTTGCATTAAAACATCTTTAAGAGTAATTCCTTTTGTTGAAACTCCTTTTTTACCTTTTAAATATGAACTTGATAATTCTTCATTATATTTTGTCATATTCATTTGATTTTCTAAAGCTTCCATTTGTTTGGATAACTCATTTCCTTTACGAATACGTTCTGTCATTTCGTTTCTAATTTGACTAAATATTTCTTCATAATTTTCAATCATAAATCTTACAGTTCTTGTTAATTTTTCGATGTCAAATATAATTCCTTCATCAATATATATATTCGGTGAAATAACTTTAGCTAAGTTATCTGATCCCATTAAATTAATTTCTTTTTTCATTTCAATAAGATGAAGTAATCTAAATAATCGTTCTATAAATGCCAAATACCCATCATTATTCATTTCTCTTAATATTTTTTTAATTTTTTCACAAGCACATTCATCAAGTACTATTGTTTGTAATTCATTTGGTAATTTATTCGGAATTGAATTACAATATCTCTTAAGTATATTAATCATCTCATGAACATTTAATTTAGATACGTCAATTTCTTCTTTTCGATTAATTTTTTTCATATCTTTTTCCATTTGAACAACATTTGCTGAAAGTCTTAATACTCCTTCTTGTTCTGGTGCATCTTTTTCACATTGATCAAATATTTCATGTAAAATTTTAGGAAATAACCATTGTTGTTCATTTCTAGCAATTGTAGCTGTTGTAATATCTTTACCAAAAATATCATTCGAAGTTAATTTATTTTGTACTTTATTTAAACAATCCATAAAATCTTTTACTGTTTCTTCCTTCATACTAAATTGAATACCTTTAATATTTTCTGTTGTATTTTCTCCTTTACATCCAATTTCTATTGTCTTTCTATCAACAACTCTAAGCCTTTCTAAATTAGATGTTTCAAACATTTCAATGACACTATACCCTTCTTTCTCTGACTTAGCAAAGATAAGATAATCGCTAAAGAAAAACATTGTTCCATTCAATTTGCCCGAAGAAATAACTACTTTGCCAAAGTATTCTCTTTCTTGGTTAATATTTCCTTTAAAATTGTTCAATTTAATAATGTAACTTGTTGCAATAATTTGTTTTTTTACTATTTCTTTTTCTTTAGCTAACTTTTCAAAGACATACTTTAAAGTATTAATTACTTCCTTATCAACAGTTGTTACTCTTTCTAAATTTTCTAAGAAATCTGTGATATAATTAAATGGTGCTGTGATTAATTCTTTCATTTCAAATCCTTCAATTAAATCAATATTATCAACACATTCTTTAAATCGTTTAATTGACATAAACTTATTTAATACAATAAAACTGTTCTGATAATGTTTGAGATAGTTATGGTATTGTTGATATAATTGACCAAAATAAGCAGAGTAACAATCCAAAAATTCTTTTGGATTAGATTCTTTTAATTTCATTAATATATTTTTATGACAATGAATTAGTGGAACAATGTCTGTGAAAATAGTATCCATGTCTTGTAATGATATACCACATTGTACTATTACTGGATTATTAGATATATCAATATAATATCTATCAATAAGTAAGGTTAGAGTATTAACATACATAAATTCATTTGTTATAATTCTTTTAATTTCAGGTGATTTCATCCATGGTTTAATTTCACCCTCTTCAAATTCTTCATTATAAAAATCAAGTGCTTTCCAAGAATCTATCTTATCTTCATAATTCTCTATTTTTGAATGAACTTCTTTCATTCCATTTTGAATAGTTTCATAAATATGTTTTCCACTATTTTGTAGTATTTCATAATACTTCTGTAAATTTTTGTCAAATATTTCTAGAGCTTTTCTTCCTTCTCCAATTCCTTTTGAAATAATATCATCTCTTGTTTGTTGAATAATTTTTTGTTTTTTATCATCTTTTTCATCATTTAGTTTTCCATTAATTTTTTGATATTCTTTATGTATCTTATCAAATTCATTTTTTGACTTTATACATGTTTTACTATCTTCAAGAAACTTCTTTCCCTCTTTCATCATACGATTTAATTGTTGTGTTTGATTTTTAAATTGTTGAAAACCAACAATATATAAATCAGACATATAAACTGTGAATTCTTTTAATGACTCTAAATCTCCTGTTTCATTAGTTAACATATGACTAGTACTTTGTTGAATTGAAGTTAAAATGTCAGAATAGTTCTTAATAAAGTCATTACATTTTATTGTTTGTTGTTGATATTTAACAATTTCAAATATCCTATCTCTTGCTTGACTTATTTTTTGGTATGTATTTTCTACTTCAATAACCATATCGTTAAACATTTTTACATTTGACCTCATAGCTTCTAATGTGTTACTTGTAATTTGAGTCGTGCATAAACTCATTGACTTTCTTAATTGATTTCTATTAGTATTACTCCATGCTGTTGTTGTACTTTTAATTCTATAATCTCTTGAGTCATGTGGAGTAATACTTAGTGTAATAGGTTTAGGAGTTGTTTGGTCATTTGTGTTTATACTTTCTAGAACATCTTTTGGAGTTATTGAATTAATACCTTTATCTTCTTTTAGTCTTACAGAAGAGAATGTAGCTCTTTTAGTTTGTTGAATGGTCTGATCAACTTTTTCTTCTTCGTGTAAGTGACTTTTAGTTTTAGGTTTGTCTTTTAATCTCTTAGTATTAGGAATTACTTTATGAAGATTTTCTACTTTTTCATTTTCATTCAGTTCATTTTCCTTACTTTTTTCTTCTGTTATTGTTTCTTTGATTATTTCATTTTTTTGGTTGTATTGAATTGGTTCTGAAAAGGTACTATTTTCAGTATTAGTTGAACTATTACTTTTATTAGATTTAAGAGATTGATTAGTGATTTGGTTATCACTTTTATCTTGTCCGTTAGATTTACTAGAACTAATTTCTTTTTGAGGTGTTTTTGACATTAATGGATTGTTTGATATGATAAACTATAAAGGGAGTGTAAAAAGAATTTTTTTATCATTTAAATTTTTCTACAAAAAAGAAAAAAAGACGAAATTAAAAATAATTTTAATTTATTCATTTAAAAAAATTAAAGACTTTTTTTAAAAAAAATTATTGTATTTCAATTTTGATTTTTTCTTTATCATTTCCTTCAAACTTTCCTTCATTAAATTGTAACTCAAGTTGTTTAGACAAACCTTTTAATAAATCAACTACATTCTATGAAATAAACTTAGAACTTTTTTTAAATGAAGTTGTATTAAATATAAAACAAACAGAAATTCTATTGGGTTTTACAAGTAAATCAAAATCTTTACCTTCATTCATAAGAACGATTTTTGTGTCATCAATTTCTTTAATATCAAAAGGAATTGAAAGAACCATATTCAAATCAATTTTTCTTTTTGCTTGGAATAAATCATCAACTGTTTTCATTCTTTTAATAGAAATCTCTTTTTTCTCATTTAATTGTTGAGCAAATTCATTGTTTTTAGTTTGAAGATCTTTTGTAGTTAATTTATATGAATCAAGACTTTCATTTACAAAAGTACTTGTAATAATTGGGATTTTATCATCAAGAGCTTGTTGTATCAATTTTTTAACATCACTATCCCATTCTATTTCATCACAAACAACAAGAGTTGAATTATTTATTTTACTTGTTATTTTTCCTTTTCTTAATTTTATAATATCAACTAATCCATCATAATCAACACCATCTTCTAATGACTCTTTTATAATAAATACAATATATCCATCATAAGTTGCTGGTATTAATCTTTGAACTAATCTTCTTCTATTTGGATTATCTTTTCTTCTTTGAATACCAACAAGTGATTTGTAATCTTTTGGTAATGATGAAAAATTAGCATGAATCGTGTGGATATCACAAAACTCAACAAATCGTTCTTTATCACAACTTTCAGATTTCTTTCCTTCAATATATGCCTTTTCTAATAACGAACATGTTTTTTTATCATAATCAACCCATTGATAATCATCAAGCCATTGCCATTTGGCAGACATAATGAAATAAGAGGCAACAATATTAAGTTTTTAGTTCTTTTTCTAATTGACTTGATTTTTGTTTTATAAAAAGTAATGATTAGTAAAAGTTATTTATAACAAAAAATTTTAACAATAATCAGTATTTATCAATGAAAAAATAATCACTTTTCAAGTAAAAGAAAATAATTTTAAATAATAGAAAAATCAACAAAAAACTACTTCTAATATAAACTGCGTTAGTTTTATTAAATATATTTATTGGTAAAGGATTTAAATTGATAAAACTTAATTTCTTTTGCAATGGGTGTGTACTTTTTTAATCGAAAACATTTATAAAATGATTAGAAATGGGATAATTTGTTTCATAACAAAAAGCTCAAATAAAGTTTTTATAATCAAATAATTTTCAATGAAAAACATAAAGAAAAAAAAAAAGAAAAATAAAAAACTTATATAGAAAATAGTTAAATCAATTGAGAGATGTTAAGATCAAAATATAAGAAGAACTTATATGCTTTACTTGATGAAAAAGAATTCAATGTCACTGCATTCAATAAACTTCATCACAGCGTTGAACTTACTCCTGTTAAATTACCTAAAGTTTTTAGAATTCTTGAAGAATATGTTACTAAAAATTTTACGAATGAAGTGTTTGTGTTATTATATCATGCAATGTTTTTGTCTTAACTCATCACTTTTAGTAACGTTGTCAAAGCAACAAGAACAATGGGAGAATTGTCAAATAATTGTCGTGAACATTTAGCATTAATGGATGAAAGAATTGTTCGAGTTATTAGACAATGCCTTGGATCATCTAATTTAAAAATTAAACAAGCAGGAATGCAATTATTAGGATATTATGTAAAAGCCTGTAATGAAACATCGATTCGTGCAAATTTTGATGAAATTAAAAACCTTCCATTAGATTTAACAAAAAGTGCAGTTAATAATACAAATAGTTCTGAACAAGCACTAAGAGCATTAAAAGATTGTGTATTAATATTCCAAATGGTATCAGAAATTGATCAAATTTTAGGGTCAAAAACAGTATTACGAGTAATTTTTGATTGTCTAAATAAAAATGAAACGAACGAAGTAGCAAAAGACATTGTA